GGCACCAGATGGAGGCGTGAGGGGGGGTGGGGGGTGGGGAGGGGGGGGGTGAGTGGCTCAGCAACCTAAGTCTCTGTGCCCGTGATCAGAAGGTCACCGGTTTGAGCCCCAGCCTCAACAGAACAGTCCTGAGCAAAGCCCTTAACCCCCCAGCTCCAGGAGCACCACACAATGGTCGACCCTGCACAGTGACTCCTGAGCGATGAAAAGTAAGATGGAGTAGGCGAAGAGACAAAGTTCTATGTACCTCTGCTCGTATTTGTGCAATGGCCAATAAAGGATCACTACTACAATTACTAATCAAGTTGCTTGAAAGTTATGTTTTATCCTGCCATATCATTTGGGGTAATCATGCAGAGATGGATCCCGCTTAAAGCCAAAGTGAACCACTACTGCCACTGAGGCCACATCCTGTCAGGATTGATCTCTGCGTGTTAAATAGGAGTCACAGCAGCTTCAAGGACAGAGTTTCTACTCTCCGGGTTGCCGGCTGGTCCTCACCTCAGCCTGGGCTCTCCAGAACTCTGCCTCCTTGATGCCGTTCACCTCGCAGTTGATGACCAGCACGTCTGGGAGGCAGCGGATGTTTCGGGTCTGTACCTGGGTTACCATCAAGAAAACGAGCGTTACTGCAGATGTCCATTACCAGCGACCAACGGCGGGGTGTCACCTTCACCCAGCAACAGAACAAGTGAAGCTACAACATTAAATTCACACGGAGGTACACAAAACACAGCGCCCAAGTCAGACATACTCAGCAACTGAAGGAAATCTGAAGACCCAGCTATCTAATCACACCAGAACTTCATAAGCTTGCAAGTTATAAACATCAGCCCAGAATAAGATGCACTATCTAGGAAGTCAAGCAAGAAAAAAAACATGGTTAGATGACAAGGATGAGCACAGGGATGGACTCAGACTCCAACCCATTCCATCCACCCAGGAGAGGAAGAAGCCCCAAGGTAACGAAGAGGTTAATGATTTTCTCAGTCGTCACGACAACATTTCCAGGATGCAGCTCACACTTACCGTGGGCTGGTACTTCTCGCAGTTCTCACACCAGGCCTGCGTGTTCTGCTCTAGGCAAATGCTCTTCTTCAGTACGTCGGCAAACTCGCACTCCTTTATCGTCTTGTCTGTGACGGCAGGGGAAGCAAAAATGGGCTGAGCTGGAGCAGCCCCGGCCACGGTAACGGTGCGGCGGACGTGGAGCCGCCACGGGCCGGGCGGCGGGCGGGAGCTCCTCACCCAGAGTCTGCTCGGGGTAGTGCATGGTGAAGAGCAGCGTGAGGGAGGTCCGCACCGTCTCTTTGCCGCAGCGGCACAGGCTGCTGTTCTCCACCTCACAGCCGAACAGCCGGCCAATTACAGACTCCCCCGAGGACCCGAAGGCGCTGTGAAAGGGAGGTGTGGCGGCATGAGAGCCATCGACAGGCAGATGTCACGTTACCGCGTTGCTGGTTTATTCTGTAACTCAATAACTCCTTCACCGTTTTCCCCTATATTATACCAAGAGCATAGTGGGGTCATAAGCCCATCACTGCCTAATGGTTTTTGGATGAAGGCCCAGGTGAGCATTAAACAAAATACCTAAGATGAATTACATACGTTCATCTGACCCTTTTATCCAAAGCAACTTACATTAGAGGGATGGGTTACAATGTGTGTGTGCTCTCTGGGATTCGAAGCAAAGACCGTTACGTTGTTAGTACAATGCTCTACTTGTTGAGCTACAGGAGTTGAAATACCTTCAAAAAAATCTCAATGCTACCATTCAGCAATAAAAAACATGTTAAATGTAAGATGTTTCTGTGGTGCAGCCCTGCAGAGGCTCCTTCGGGTCACCTGCCGCTCAGTCCCCTGTAGGCCTGTGGAGCCTCCTGCTCCTGGGTCTCCTGGTGGAGCTGCGTCAGGATGAACCGGTTCCAGCTCTGGATCAGCCGGCCCAGCCTCACCTTGCCGGTCTGCTCATCGGAATCTGAGAGGATTAATCCCAGCGCCGACGCCTCGGGGATGGTCCGGAAGGCACGGAGGAAGTTACTGGCCTAGGTGGGAATTGGCAGGGTGGAGGGACAGAGCTAAATTAGTGTGGGAAAGAAGTAATAGGTGGTATCATGGAAACAATTGAAAGTCTCATAATTTGATATGTTTTGCAATGAAATTAATGAATCCAAAAGCAAAAAGTTGATAATATAATGTTACAGATCACTGCTAGTAAATGGTTATTCCATACAATTCCCAGTCAGGATTTCACCACTGTCAAGATTTTGTTTCTCTTTTCAAACTTACAGCATCAAGGATTCATGGGAAATACGGCACAAAACAGTCCCAGGGATCGACCCCATTCAAGGTAAATATAGGGACAATGATTTTAAAAGCTTGATTTTAATCGAAACAACTTGACTGACTGAAGCTTAAGTGTTGTGAGGCACCGCTCTGGGTCAGACTCGATGTGGCGAAACCCCGCGGGGGGGGGGGGGGTCTTACCTGGCAGGGGTCTCCCCTGGACAGGTCGAGCATGTGGAAGAGGAAGCCCAGCTCGCAAGCTAAGCAAAACTCCTTCTGACACAAGTGGTTCTGGACAAGGCAGCGGACCGGCTCCAGGAAATACAACACCTACAGGATAGGACAGAGGGGACACATTCAGAACGTCACCATGCCTAGTTGGGCCTGAAGGAAGCTGACACTATCGGATTATTACTAGGCTGCTTTTCTGCTCAACTTCTCATGTTAACATTAATCCTGTTCAGATTCACAAGAAAGAATGAGATCATGGGGAAAAATGTAATTCTGGGTAAGCAATCAACCCGGCGGTACAATAAGTATCCTCCAGCAAACTAGCTAGCTTTATAGAAGGGGCTGTTACTGTACTGTGAGGCCAATGTCCCTTCATCCCAGTCAATGTCTGGTGTTGCCACGGCAACACGTCTCAGCACCTTACCTGGATCATGCAGTTGCAGTAGGCGTTGGGAATGTGCGGCTCCAGCCCGGCAAACAGGGTCTTGTTATAGTGCTTGAAGTCAAAGTCCTCCAGGCCCAGTTTCGAGTACTTGATGGTCACCTGGTGGGCATATGGGTAATAATACGGTCATTTTGCCAGGCCCGGCTGACTGAAATGTCAGTCTGATTAGATCAGAGTCCCGCCTACCTTCCTGTACTTCTTGGGCACCATGTGAAGGTGAGGTTGCTCATCTCGGCCAATGGGAGACTCGGGCACCTGGCTGTAACTGTCGTACGCCAGCTCAATCTCCTTGGTCTTGTAAGGAACCTGAAAGGGAAACATGATCGTTTTCTTCAATATAACATATAACATGAGGATTCTCTATTAGCAGTAAAATACAAAAACAATAAATTAATCTGACCGCCAACCTGAAGTGTTCATTCTAAACTTGAGTCAGACAAACAACAAGGGACCAACCCAGCTTCACAAAGCTCACACCAAATTGCTTTCATCCCCCTACTGGCCACGGACAGTTATGCGGACACTACTTGCCTGATTGCGGAGCCGGGTGCGAGGGTTGGGGGCATACCCAATGAACCCCACTGTTTTCATTGTGCGCAGAATCTCTGGGTCAACTGCAGGTGCTCGTCTGGAACAAAGACAATCAGGACGTCTCTGTATCTTTATCACATATTTAACGGGCAGCAGCCTAACAGCAGGACTGAATCTCCTCATTTTCTTAGGTTTATACAATTTCATCACCATTTCCATTGTTTATTTACAAAACAGGGTGTCCCCTAAAGACGTCCATTGTGCATATCATTAAGTTACAGAGAACTACGAAAGGTCACAAAACGGAACGCGATGGGACGTACCTCGGGCTCGGAGTGGCCAGGGCCGTTGGCCAATCAGAAAGCAGTGGCTCAGTGCTAGTTAGAGGCATCGGGATGAGGGACAGGGGCAGAAGATCTTGATTCCAGTCCAAATGAGGCAAGGAATCAACAAGACATGGCAGGGCGAAGTCCGTGTCCCGGGAGTAACTGTTGAAGGTGACCTCTGGGGCGTCGGACCAAAGGTGGACGCCGCTACCCGAGTCCCCAAAAGCCAGCGCCTGCTTGCTGGACGACACATCGAAGCTCATGAGCAGGTGGCCCACCGTGTTCACGTGGAAGACGTCAGCCAGGTTAGCCAGGCCCGTGGGTTCGCAGAACTGGCACTGCCCTGGGGGCCATCGATCAATCCGAGGGCAGCAGGGAGGCAGAGGGACGGGAAAGGAAGCGTCATTATGGACAGCAGTTTTCAACTGTAATCTTTACGAATTAAAAAACAAAATTCTGGTTTAAATGCCTCAACGATTAGTTGGCAGCTAATTATCATCAGTTATACTTAAAAAACCATTAGGTTTGCTTATAAATTTTATTTATTTTATTTATTTTTTTTTACAAAAATTGGCCTGCAGATTGTCGTCTAATTTTCTAAACCGTGCAGCACTGATCTCGCTGACTTTTTGATGTCGCTGACTTTCGTGTTGCCGCATACCCGTCTGCGAGATGATGGCCAGGCGTGACGTGTAGGTGGGGATGAAGCGCAGAAAGTAGGGGTCCACGTGCACCTGCAGCGGCGTCACAGCGCGCATCATGCGCAGGTCGTACACCATCAGGAAGCGGTCGCAGGCCAGCCCGTTCAGCCCGCGGCTGGAGAAGCCGCAAGCCACCAGCAGGTTTCCGTGCACATCGAAGTCCGACAGGCTGCCGGAGAAGGCGTCGAACTCCTGCTCCAGCTTGAAGGTGCGCAGATCTCGCAGGGTCACCTGGCCAGCGGGGGAGGGGCACAAGTGACTCACAGCAGACATTCATGTTCCCAACACTAGGATGCAGAACTAAATCTCCACAAGACTGGTGGCAACACTGACCTCATGCAATTGTGAGCAACTGAAGAACCAAGAGTTACTAAAGTTTATAATATAATACTTAACGTGTCAGAATGTTTTATACAAATGCATTTGGGATAAGGTTTGAATCCCATGACACTGAGTGCAAGCTGTTAATGTTAGTGAGGTTTTATGTTTGCTATGCGGACAGCTGGATGTAGCCACTGGTCTCACCTTTCCGGATGTGTGACCACAGAAGAACGAACGGTTGGACTGTCGCATGATGGCCACACCAGGAACCTCCACTGTGAACTTGACATACACAGATAAGCCACATGAACTGTGATCAAAGTAACCCGTGGACATCTGGAATTTACACCATCCATCCATCCATCCATCTATCCAGTACAAGGTAATGCGGTGGACCTAGATCCTATTTCTGGCAGCATATGGCAATAAAAAAACAGAGAAATACTTTGTGAAGGACACTTGTCTCCACCCCAGCTATTTAAAGGGGGGCTTCTAAAAGGATTTTCTGTGTTGATATGGAGATGCCCCTGATCGGCTGTGCAATTAATCTCTGAAACATATTTTACACCTAATACAAAAAAAAAAAACATAGCTCTGCCCCCCTTACTCTCTGGGTCTCCTGCACAGTATTTAGATCAACTTCGCAGACGTAGTTTTGCAGCCCCCCCATCAGAAGAGTGTTGTTATCCATGAGAAGAAGACTGTGCATGTCTGCTGCCTCCTCCATCCTGAAACAAGGAAACAAGCACCCCTCACTAAGACCATCTGAAGCCCTACGTACACCTGCATGATCACATCATGGCCAGAAGGTGGCATGGTGGCTAAAATATGATCATGCAGTGGTACCTTTAAGAAAACTACTTAATCTGAATTGGTTCAGTATAGTATTCATTGGTTTAAATTAATTTAAATGGTGCTTTGGATGCAACTGTCAACTCTGCAAAATAAATAGTCACTGCTGTTACAATACCTATTAAACCAGCAACAGGCTTATTGAGCTGTGTGAGGGACAGCGTTCACTCACGGGTAGTCGAACATGATGAGACCACCACGTGTGAGGCACTTGAGGTTACTCTTGGAGAGGAAGAGCACACCGGTCTCCAGGCTCTGGATGTTCCTGATGTCGTCGGTTGCATGCACTTGGAAGGAGGAGTAGCGGCCCATGGTGGAGCCGAAGAAGGAGCTTGTGTGGCCCTGAAAAGCGCAGTGAGCTTTCATGCGCGCACAGAATCGGCTTCCAGAGGCACGCCAATGTGGCGTAGTTGTCATAAACCCATAACGGCTAACTGATGAGTACTGAAAGCCTTCATCCTCTTACCCGGTGGTTGCCCATCCACAGCAGCTCTTCCTGCAGGTCGAAGTGGACCGTCGTCACAGGGATGCCCACCTCTGTGAGCACGTTGTGCAGCTCCGAGAACATCCCCTCCATCAGGTGCACAGACTCTGTCACAGGGACAGCCAGCCCATCCGGGTCCAGCTCGACACCTTGCAGGAGGGCCGGGTCGAGCCTTGGGTCCAACGGCGCCTCCAGCCCTGGCTCCAGCGTGCCGTGCAGCGCCGAGGAGAAGTCACCCATCCCTGGGTCCAGCCCCTCAAAATTCATCATGGGGACAATCCAGCTGTACAAAACACACCATTTACTCTAATTAATTTTAAACTAATAACAAACCCAAGTTATAGCTTCGCTTTGACTTAATATACTCCCAAACTCATACACTTTGCTGTCCAAACTTAAATGCATGTAGGACAATAATAAATAACTTGAAACCATTTTGAATATATCTGGCAACGTAAATACATCACAGCCTTATATCGTAAAACCATTTTAATCAATAATAATATTGCAGCGAGGACGCTGTATGCAGCCCAGAATGCACCGATGCTAGTAAACAAAGCATAGTAAGCGAAGGCAGGGCGGCCCTACGGCTTGTTTTGCACTGAAAGGAGCCGGGGAAGCGCGCATGTAGCGTGCGGCGCGGTAATGCTAACTCACTGCCAGGCGCCGCCGGCTCTGGAGCCGCTTTCGCGCGATTTAGAAACAGCTGGGCGCTAAGAAGCGGCGCTCGTCGACATTTAGGTGGCGAACTGCTCACCTACCTGCGCGAACCCACACAGCAGAGCCGCCCGTCGACGCTAGCGCGCTAATACCAATTAGCATCCCCGGGCGTAAAATTAGCATAAACCAACCACAAAGAGTAAGAGACACATAAAAGCATAACGAGCTGAAGAGCATGCGGGCGAGACTGGAGCAGCTCCCATACCTTTCGCTACCCCGTTAAAAGCCCTATGATTTCGGAGCGTACGAGCTCCATTCTGGAGAAACACGGCGCCATTCACTTCCGGCTGAGCCGGGTCATGCAGCGCCGGGGCCGCCCTGCTGGCCGGGCCGCCGCCGATCCAGGAGAACAGCGAGCGGAAAATAATGACATGAATAAAGGGTTTCCCTTGAACGTGTGCAGGGAGCACAGCAGAGCATGTTTGCTGGGGACAACCTCTATTATAGTTTATTACTGTGGAGTTTTCGCTGATCGTCATGTTGACTTTCGCGGTGGATGTAGTTTCCAAGAGGGCGACATGGTACAGGAGCAATAAGGACAATCTAACTCAGTTACAGTTACAGCAGTTTTTTCATCATTTCAGATTTCTTTATCGGTTTATTTAACTTTTTCAATAAAAAGACATTTTAATTTCAAAATGCCACTGCGTGAATGCTTCTTGCATTCTTTTCGAATCGACGTTGCCAACATGTCTGCACACACATGCACGCGCATTTACATGTATATAACAGCTTTATTACATTGTAAATAGTCTGCAGGTTTTGCAAACAACAACCCCAACGCTTTTGATGTAACTGATTTTAGATTTATAATGGAACATATATAGGCTACATACAGAGATGGAAATTTCAGGTCCAGGAAGTTCAAATCCAGACCGTGATTTAGCTTCAACCAACCAGTTGCGCATAAAGAGTCACAGTTACAGAGTACGCCACTGGTTGGTTGAAGCTAAATCACGGTCTGGATTTGTACTTTCTGGATCTGAAATCTCTACCTCTGGGTGTGTGTGTGTGTGTGTGTGTGTGTGTGTGTGTGACACACACACATAGCCACGGAAAAAATTAAGAGACCACTCTATATTTTTAACCAAATCTGCATTTTTAAATCCTGGCTTAATCGTGGTTCTGCTGAACAGCAGGTTGCTTCCAGGTTCAGAATTTCTAAGACAGCAGTACACAAGAACAAGGTGAAGCAGGAGACACTGGGAACAACCATAAACCAGCCAGGTAGAGGGCAGAAGGAATTTTCTGATGCCAGAGATGACTATTAACTTATGTGCTTATGTTTCTCATTAATCGGAGGATGATCAAGTGACTTTCAAACGGAACGGCAAACATTAAGTGCAGGTGTGAGGTGCACTGCTAGGATAGTTTACATCAGGCTCCTAGAAGCAGGACTGAAGTCCCATAAAGCAAGGAAGGGAAGAACCAGTTTGCAATATGTATATACTGTTTGTGTGTGTGTGTGTGTGTGTACATATATATATATAATATTCTTTATTTGCTGTAAGATTTCTTGCTTGTGCGGTGGAGTCTAAAGGCATGAATGTGTTACGCCAGATGTGTGACAGTTGGCAAACCTCACAAGGTGTGGCAATCAATAAAAACTTGTCATACACAATATTGCAAAAGAGATTTGCTTTCACCCACTGCTTCTCTCTGGTGAAAGAGATGGCGTTTGGAGACACTCACTGAAAACCATTTCAGGGGAATATCCCTATCTAAAAATTGAAATTGATTTCTTTTTGCTGCTAGATCTAACCTGGTTCTTGTATACCGGTAACTGGATAAATGACTGGAAAGTGTGTGCGTGTATATGTGTGTGTGAGAGATTGTGTGACAACAGTTGCTTTCACTTGTAGGAACAAAACTGCCCACAGTGGTCAGTGGACAGGATCAGAAGCCTCAAGGCATTTAAAGGATCTGTAACAGTTATTTATAGATATGCCATTTACTGGCCAACCCAGCAGAAGAGAGCCTGTAGCACCCTGATCTCTGGTTAGATTAGACCTAATCTGATTCTTACTGGTTACTCCAGCAAAATTTGCTTGGTGAAGTGGGACGTACTTTCTGACTCTATTGCACACGTGACATCCTTTTTAAGCCTTATATAAATGTCACCTTTTACAAGGAAAAGACTAAAATAGGTATGGGCAGAATGTGGACTAGTATAGACAAAATTATAAATATATAATATGAATAATATAAAATAATCTCATTTTTTACTGTATACTGTATAAGTATAAATATTCAGCTGAATGATTTACTTTGTTCTCCTGCTCTGAATATGACAAGCGCTCCCATTTCAGTTAAGTATGTAGTTGACCATTTGCAGAAGTTGTGCAGTGTGCCTGGTCTGTAGTTTCATTATCCTAATTTGCAGCTAAAACCTGTAGTACAAAAATATGTTGTTTTTATAGTAGGATTCTAGCTTGATTCCAAACAGATTTCGCCTCAGCCAGTGCCAGGCTGGCACACTAAGAGAAAACACAGAATGTGAATTTCTGTTTTAAAGCTATTTGTGATTCTAGAAAGATGAAGAAAATACTGTGGTTTTGTGGTGTGATAAGGCTTTGAAAAAGCTGAGGAGAGGCTGATCAGTGCAGCCAGTCTCACAGGAAGAGAGCTTAAACACACCTACACTTGCGTGTGATATCCAAATAAAAGTGATGGGTTTTCATCAGAACTCCCACAAACAGTGAACAAAATTACAAATTATTCAATGGAGCATGCAGTTTTTAGGAAATTTTACTATGAAGACAAAAGTAAAGCAAAAATAAAACTTCTTGAACACCATAAGGTTTTACAATACAATAAAAAACTGCCTTCAAATGAACATTTAGAAAGAGAAACTAACATCGTCCCACATATCTAACCCCAATGATTGTCAAAACTTATTTTTGCAATATTTTTTTTGCATATACTGTTTCCGCAACCTTCAAATTCCAGTTGCTTTTTTGAGCAATTCAGTGAACAAATTTAGACTATAGTCTTCTCTTTCCCACATCATCTAACTTAATGGGAATGAAATTTAGATCAAATAAAACAATTTAACAGAAGCAAATAAAATCAACTGAAAAGGCATTAACATACAACCCAAAGCAATTTGCTCCTTTGAGACAGATAACTACATGTCACAAAAGGTCTGACCATCTCATTTGAAGAATTATGATACATCTGGATGCAAATTTTTAAAAAAAAGCAATGCCAACTGACAGTGTAACCAGTGTTTAGAAAGCATTTACATCATCTGAACTTTCCCCCAGAAGGTCAAAACTTAACATAAACATGCAGGAGCTCAATGTGACATAGCCTGCGTGTTCCTTTGCAGAAGCCAGTCTCACCAAAAGTGAGAGGGCTGCACTGAAACATGCCACTATGTCTGCTGCAGGTGAAGTGGGAGCACAATAAGTGGTCCTGACAACAGCCCTTCTGAAGATTACATAAACAGAACATCCTGTAGCTGGTAAACAGGAGGAAGTGGAGGAACGGAGGCAGTGGAGAACATCATGGACAGCAGGCCACTCCCACCAATGACATCGCCAATTAAAATTGATTTCAAAATTGGCGAAGAGTTCTGGAATATAATCATCATCACTGGGATAACAACACAATTTAATGTGAGTGGTAATTGCATCTCCAGCCTACACATTCATTTTATATCAAAAATAAGTATTATTTTAATCTCTGTAGTGATCACTAATTACGTATAGTGGTGGTTACTATATACCAACATTGACCTATACATACACAGCATTGTGCAAAAGTCTTATGCAGTCAAAGAAATCGATGCTTAATTGATCTTCATGTTGGTGTAAAACTTTGATTTTATGTCTGTCAAAGTGCGTCAGCTTAGCCATTTCAAAACCTCTCCTAAAGTCGCCCATTCTTCACAGCAACCATCCAAAGCACCCGTGTATTTTTTGACTATCACACCTCGTTTGGCTAATTAAAACAAATTAATTAATCAAATAATTTAGTTGATGGTCAGATTGAATAAATACATGGAATGGCCGAGGTGCCCCTGAGGAGAGGTTTGGGATCTGAAGCGGTGTTCATCTAGCCATCCAACTATACATCAGCAACTTTTTGGAGAACAGAAGAAATTCTCGTTATCTTTTATCGTTACCGTGAATACTGTCAATATGCATACATTTTAATATCAAACTGCGTTTTATGAGCATACACTTACTACCTAGATAAAGCGCTTTAAACATTTTCTTTGACTGCCTGAGACTTGTACACAGTGCTGTATATCTCAATTTACAACATTCATTGTAACTCCTTTTAAAAAAAACAAAAAAAAAACATTAGGTTTAAAGACTTCCTGGGTGAAGAAAAACAGAACTACGAACTAGAAAAGTGTTTGTATTTCTCCTCATCATTTCAAAATTCCCATCAAATGGTATAAACTGGTGCTGAAGTGAAATGACTCAGACGTGTGAATGCACTGTCAGAGGCAAGAAAAAATAATAAAATTATTATATCCCTATAAAGGCATATTGTAAAACCAAATGTAAAACAGAAAAGGGGCAAGAAAAATCAGGGCTGGGTATGGGATGCTTTAAATGGGCGACACATTTAGAGTACTGTTTGGGTTGAGTCCAGAACTGGACCAGTTAACAACGGCTGTCAACCAAACGCAGAGCAGGTCACTCCATTGACTGGCATCTCAGACATGCCTTGTTGATTATAATTCCACGTGTTAAAGTGTCCAGCCCTGCAATTTCCTGCCACTATGCAGAGCATGATGCGTTAAAGTTGGCTGCAATACTTAATTGTTAAAAGAAAAAAATAAACTAAGAGTATGGCTACATTTCCGACAAAAAACCAACCAGGAAGGAAGCAACTGACACAGACCCTTGCCCATATTCTCATAAAAAATTCTGCTTCTTCGTTCTCCTTTCCGGGGTCCCTGGTTCTGCTTTTCGTAGTGGTAGCTCCCTGAAAAGGGCCTGCTGAATTCAGAAATCACCCCCTCAGGTCACAGCAAGTGGTGCAGGCCAAGATGGAGTCTGATTGCACAGCTGACAATATGTGTTTTTTTTTTTTGCCATGCCCAGCTCACCGCTGGAAGGGCTTGCGGGCTTTCTTCCTTCGCCGCACGGGCTTGGAGCTCTCGGTCCGGGGCTCACTGCTGTCCGCTCGTTGCCCCCTGTGGGAAAAGAATCCCGTGTGCGGTGGGGTAGCAGAGGGAGGGCTGCCACCTCCCGCGCCTGCTGAGCGCTGCGGGGCTGCGCCTGGAGGAAAGAAGGTTCCATTGGCGGCCATGCCGCTGGGTGGCTGTCCCTGGAAGATGCGGCTAAAGAAGTCCTGCAGGTCAGCAGCAGAATTGGGACCAGGGTGCTGGTTTGATGGAGCCCTGGAGAAGAGTTAAGCAGGTTGAGGGCATTTTGTATTAATATTGTCCTATCACAATGATACTAAACGATCCTTGGGTTTCCAAAAGAGGATCTGAGCGCTACCTATGACGTGCAGTGTTGCTGTGGTTCTTCGCGCCGAAGGAGATGTGGTACGGCACTCGATGAGTGTCCGGGGTGATGCTTATTCTCTGGCAGCCAGCCCACTCTGGTGGAAAAAGAATAGAAGGTAAAACTCTATACTTCCTTGCTCCCTCATCCAAAAACCAGGTCTTCCTCCCCACTTTAACCGTTTACAGTTCCTATCAGTCTGGAATGTTCCCCACACCGCCCAGAAGCCCTCAAAGGAAGCGCTTGGGGCACCAAGCCTGCCAGTGTGACGTTTGCGTTACACAGTGCAGGTCACTGGGGATTAAGTGCGGCTGGAAGGGCTGGCAGCTGCAGGAAACGTTTGGCCATTTGAGACCCTGGAGCGTGCCTGAATACCACAACTGCAGAATTTCCGGTACAGATTTGGCCTGTGACGCAACTCAGACTCACAGGAGTCACATTTACTGGCTCCAGCCTTTATCTGGTACCTCATTTCCCAGTGCTACCAGTTTCTAATTCTAAATATAGGAATACAGTCACACCCCAGAAGTGAACACGGTACCGGTGATGTCGTAGACCTTCCCGTCCATGAAGGAGAAGTAAGTGATCCGCAGGCCCAGCATGCTGGACTCGGCCCAGAAGTCCCCGTCCTCCGCACTGTGGTGTTTGTTGCATTCTGCGCAGAACCGTGCCTCTGCTGGATCTCGTTCGATCTCAAACCTCCTGCAGGGATGTGGATATAGGTGCATTTTTTTTCTCCTATCAAACGCTTTCCCAGTTGAGCCCCCCCCCCCCCCCCCCCCCCCAAAGCTCAGAGATTCTAGTGAAGTTGCACCCTCACTGCAGACAGCAGGATACTCAAGTCACCCGTGACCTCACTTGCTCCCTCTGCTATGACAGGACTGCAGTGCTCAGCTTACCTGTGCTTGCCCTCGCATTTGGTGCACATCATGGTGTTCATCGCTTCCTTGAGGTCGTCCTGCAGCTTGGTGAGAAACTCATTCATCGACCTGGACAGCTCCGACTCTGCCATTCGCTTCCTGAGGAAACGACATGCAGCGACAAACAAGGGAAGGGTCACGGGTACCGCCTTTTCCCTAACAAAACCGTCGGTGAACTATTACAGAAAAAAACAAGCACTTACAGCTGGTACTGCCTGTATGTTTCTGGATTGCTAACTATGTCCCATGCAGCCCTTAGAACTTTGAAGGCCTCTCCAGCCCGTGGATGTTTGTTCTTGTCTGGGTGGACCTGGAAAAATGGAAGTACTATCCCATAACAATAAGGAACTGGGAAGTTCTTTTCTCTCTAAGAATTAAGCTCAAAGTTTCAAATAGCCTCCATTTTTTTTACTAAAGAGCACATTACAAAACTAGTGAAAATGAACAATTACATTTGCTTAAAATGCTGAAAAAATGGCTCGTCGCAGGATAACATGCAGCCCACCTGTACAGCCAGCTGTCTATAGGCCCTCTTCAACTCAGGATCAGTAGCATTGTCTTCCACTCCAAGGACAACAAAGGGATCCAGTTCATTATCAGGAATATGGGCCAGACCCAGCAGTCTCTCCAGCTGCTTTCCTGGGTGACATTTATTTGAGGCCCTGGAGGACTCGGAGTGGGAGGCAGAAACCTCAGGGTCGCATCTCCCGAACAAGGACTGGATCTTCTTCAGGATCACTGCGGTATACTTCCAGATGCTGGAATTGAGAAATGCAGCCCCCCATGCTTGAGCCCTCTCCCCGGCCAGTCTGTCCAGCAGGCTTCCTGCTAACCTCGATCCTAGCAGGACAGCCTTGTAGAAGACACCAACACAGCATGCAAACCGTTGCCAGCCTGACCTTCCAAAACTGACAGCCCGTGTCCACACTGCCACTCCTGCATACCACACCCTACCCATAAAACACCAGGCCTCTGCCCTTAGAGTGCGCAGGTCCTTAGCCTTGCTGAGCAACTGGGAGCCAGATTCATAGAGAAGAGCCCCACCGGCCTCCACCACCTCCCTGCACTGATGGGCCACTAGGACAATGAGCTCCACAATCATTCGTATGCATGACAGGCACCAGGGGGGCAGAGACTCCGACAAGAACTCACGGCAAGCAAGGGCTGCCCTAGAACCGAAGTTCCCTCTGGATTTTCCCTGATGGTGATGGTGGTGGTGATGGTGTCTCCGCTTGGCTTGCTTGTGCCGCCCCCCAGATGTCAATGACTTTGAGGATGAGAACGCCATCTGCTGCTGGCTCTGGTCTCCACTGCTGCGGCCTCTGCTTCTCTTCCCTCCCCCAGACTTGTGTGACCCTGATTCTACATTCATCTCTGCATCCCGCCCCCCTTCATTCATGTCAGCTTGATTTTCACTGAGGCCCACTACTTCTTCCTGTCCCTCCTTCTTCAGCTGTTCCCATCTACCACAACTAGCCACCTCATCTTTGCTCCCAGCTTCCCAGTCTGCCTCCAACCCTGATCCAAATGCCTCTTCATGGCAGATCGAGGTCTCAAGGCACTGGTTGGTTAGTTCCCGGTTGTCCGTCTTTCCTTTCCACACAGGTGGGTGCTTTTCCTTCTTCTCATTTTCTACGTTTTCCAAAACCTTAGTCTGAACAGGGTGAGCGGACAAATCGAACCCTTTCATCATCTCGCCGAAGTCCACAGACCCATCTAAAGAGTCTTCAAGTTCTCCAAGAGCTTGTCCACCATCCAGCTCCTCCTCATCTTCCTGCCAGCTTTCCTTCAAGGTGCCACACGTTTCGACTCTCACACCTGAAGACGTCCACATACCATTGTATACTACCGGACCTCTCCTCTGCTTCACAACGGTGCTAGGCCCAGATGTCGACTTATGGCAGAGGCCATTCCCGACGGTGTTCCCGTCCCCCCCACAATGCTGAGGAGCTGGGTCACCGCCTGCTCCGCAAAGGTCCATGTCAGCACTGTGAGACTCATCCATCATTAGCTCTGTATCCCACTAGCTTTATGCTCCATAAAGGCCCGCTGACCTACAGAGAAAACAGAACAGAAACATGACAGATATTGATTTAGAGCAATATGCTGAACCACTAGAAAAGCCATTAGCTTTTATTAAGTAATAAGGTAGGGTAATAAAACTATCACAATTAAAAATACATTATACAACTTACTACTGTTTTACACCACACCCATATGTTGGAATTTCAACCACGAATGTCATCTCTCTCTTATGTATTCACTTTTACTAAACATTTCGGATAAGTACAATTATTTGGTGAACCTAATCATTATAATTTTAGTTATGGCATGAGTTATCTACTATATACCGCGACAGGAAGTATGTCAAAAAGCCTAATCCGGAAAATAAATTCGCATTAATTAGCCTACTGCTCTCAAGTCAGCATTTAACTACTTTCGTTTTAGTAAGACCTTTCCGACACAAGTACGCATTAAAATTTATAGTAGCCTATATATCCATTACTGCGATTGGCGACGACTTTCTGGAACCATGCTAAAAATGTGGTGAGTTTTGATCACCAGGAAAAACAGGCCGACGGATTGGGCCGAAAGAAATTAAAGTTTTATCTGAATCGAGGGATATTTGGTTTGATCACGGCAATGCGCTTCACAGAGGTATAAAACGCTTCCTTTTCAGCACGACAACACGACGGGCAGCTAGCTAAACACACGGTCTTACAGTACAACAGCACTGCCGATGCACCAAGAGCTTAACATTAGCCAGTGTTTTCTCGTTGGACTTACTAGCTAATTTGCTTAACTTTTCAATGGGTAACATTAGTTAAAAAATAAAATGAGAAACGTTAAAGACAAACAATACTTACTTTTCCCGTCCATTTGAGGAAAAGCAAAACAGCATGCTGATTTAATCTTTTATTTTATGGCCGCGTCTCGATTACCCAAATTAGTTATTAAACGTTTGTACCGCTGGTTTCTATATTCAGATAATTCGGGACTCTGTACACCTACGACTTTGGGGATACATTGTACCTACATCACGCTGGACATTAGCCGACCGACTAAGCATCGTGTGACACAAACGGCGGGCGACTCGGCACCGAAGTCCTAGATCGTTTTCGCCGGATCTCACTCTTTAAAACGATATTGAATTATTATACATCGTTCATTTCAGTTTAGCCATAACTGAATAGATTGTTCGCTTCGTTACTGACCGAAGTCCCCTTGTTTATCTTTTTCTTTTTCACTTCCGAGGGCAATAGACAAATCCAAATCTCAACCTCGTTTCCGCCACTAGCTTTAACCCCTTGCGCTCCATGCAAAAGGTAAAAAAAAAATCCATTTATCTCCCAAGTGCTTGTTCAGCACAGCACTGGAAAGAGACACTGACTCTATAAATAACATGCACGGATAAAATGCATTTGGCATTTTTCTCATTCTCTGCCTCATCCTAATCACCCAGACACATTATTAATGATGGTGTTCTTTAACTTTTTCTCTTTATTTAGATATTTGAAGAGAAGTATAGACAAGACACGGATGGTATACACGCTTCTGGAGTTTAATGTGAAGACTCGATCAAGGTACTCAGCCCTTATTAGTAACCATTATTATAGATATGATTGCTGTCCCCACAAATCAGAGATGATTATATAAAGATATTTGTAAATATACGTTAAGCTACCCCCAACTTAATTAGAGTTGCCAACTTTGGGCAGTTGGCTGGCGTGAGATTTTCAATTCCAGACAAGTCTGCACACTCATTTACATGTGGGACATGTAACAGTTTTATTAATTGTAAATAGTCTGTAGTGTTTGCAACTGCCTCGACGCTTTTGATCTAATTTTAGGTTTATAATGGAATAATACAGATTTGCCGTAAGATTTCTTGCGTGAGCTTGTGAGTCTGAAAGCGTGAGCGTCACGCCAGATGCGGGAGAGCTGGCAGCCTTGCCTAGTGCTGCCTGAACGTCTTGTTTCTAAATCTGCATTTCAATATCTGGAAAACAATTGTTAGAAAATTTTTTTTATTATTAACCTCAATGTTTGGATTTGCCAGTAGAGTGACTAATTATTCTAGACAGCGTGTAGACTATTTTGACTGTGAGAAGAAACTGGAAAAATAAAAGAAAACCCATGAGAAGACTATCTGAATGCTCCAGATTCTGAAAACGATTAACATCCATTATCAGTCATTATACAACACTTGCATGGTCATGACATACCTGTCAGTTAGCTGGCTTGTTTACGGAATTTTATTGTCTGGTAATAATGAATCCAAAGTAGCCTTACATTGCCACCGAGAGGGGATTCATTCAGATTTCAGCAAAACAGATCTGGCAGATTTGGAAATGGAAAGTTTGCAAAATAACATAAACGTTGGACAGCATGATGTTTCAGAGAGTAGCACTATAGCTGAACGCCACTAGGGTTGGGGTTCAAATCCCATGTGTAAGTGGTTTGCCTGGGCTTTCTCCCGCAGTCAGAAAACATCTCTGAATCAGCCATAATGTGTACGTGTGTCTATGTCCTATCCACCAGTTTTCCTTCCTTCCTTCCCCCATCCTTCCTCTAGGATAGGCTCCAATATAACAAGGCTCAGGGGAGTCATCTTCCCCATCCATATTTTTCTTGTATCACTCACAAAACTACTCAGCCAATCAGAAGACTTTCCACCATTTATTTTGATTATTAGTGCTCAACTAGGTAGTATAAAAATCTATAATATATATCATGGGCGTCGTGTACCCCCCACATTTAACATAAAATGCCAGTGTGCCCCCCCATTCAAAATGCTTCTGATGCCCCTGATTTTATATATATATATAAACATAAAGATAATCTTTATTGTCATTGTCACTTGGACAACGAAATTGAAAATTAAACTCGACTCAATGTGAGGCATAAAAAGAATAATAAATATTAAAGATATACAAATTGTATGAATTACAAAATTACATAAAATTGAAACATAACGCATAACATAATAAAACTATAGCAATGTTTTTAAATGAGATAGAATTATATATAAACATATAAAACCGTTGATGTCCTGCCAATATTTCTGATTGCCCCCCAAGTCAACTCAATAATAGGCCTGGGCTTCAGGTTCACACTGACCCCATCCTGGATAAAACGTATTGGAGATGGAGGGGGGTGGCGTGTGGTTCAGCACTCTAAACCATTGTACCTGTGATCAGAAGCTGCCAGTTCAAGCCCAGCCTCAGCAGAATAGTCACATGTCCAGGGGCCCCTGAGCTCCAGAGCAGGCAGCTCGTCCTCATCTACATGCATGTCACGGAGAGCATGATGGGTAGAGAAAAGTCAATAAAAGTGCCACTGTTATTATTATGGATGGAGGAATTAGTTAATTTAAATTAAACATCATGGTGTTTATATATGCAAAATATATGTGTAGAATCATATATGCATAATATCATAATGACAAAATACATGTATTATAAATAATATAATTATTGTGCACACAGCACTGTGACTGCACTAGAAAAACAGAGCATTATATACAAAGATTAGCAGTACAATTTATGTCATTATTATATTTAGAAAAGGAGAAAATAATTTATACAAATAAGTATAATTGTAAAACACGTAATTATGTGCGAGTGAATCGTCATGGGAACAGACAGCTGTGTGTATAGGTTAGAGGGGTGAGGTTTATTATCTGCACTGTAGTATCATCAGTGAACATATGATCGAGTATGTAACCTATGCGTCTCTACTATTTTGGTTACTGCAAACTTGGGTTATAATAATTCCATTATTTAACGAAAATTTCGACTAGATAGGCCTATTCATATTTTCTATAAAAAATGGCCTATTGTTTCCCTCACTTCCTCAGGAACGTTCAAATTACAGCTGCAACCTATTGTGTTTTCCTCCCTGTACGTGTCTCTGTCGCCATCCCTCCTACACTCTCGGATGCACAGTTTTGTATTTCTGCCTATTTTTTATGCAGCGCTAATACGATCTTTGAAAAATTAGCAGCCATCTGTGGATGGCTGAGAGAATACTGAGAGCTGACACGGAAAAATGACTGAGCAAGGCAGAGGCAGATTGGCGTCAATCACATATTTAAAAATAAGGAATGATAAATTTTAAACTATTGGGCAAACGATTTTAACGCAGTAAAGGTAATGGATTTTCAGTCTTTCAATACAAAATACACAATAATTTCAATTCAAGTAATTGAATGATATTTGCTCTAATCAACCCTTTTTATCCACCAGATCGTATTAACACAACTGGAAGTATGTCCTTGCCTACTTGGTGGAAATGCACATTTAAATTCTGCTATGAGGGGAAAAAAATGAATATGAAAAAGTAATGTCCTACACGTAATAGAAGTGGACTCCCAGTCCCGTAAATACGAATCCAGTTCTCGGAGCTGACGTTTCGCCAGCTAAAGTGTGGATTACTTCTTTTGCCGACTGTAACTGAGCGCTCCCAAGTTACTGAACAAAACCCGCACTGAATATAACTGCACTGTGTGTGAAAAATGGCGATCTGCGCGCGGAGGTGGGAAACTGACCTAGAATAGGCTGTAGAGTTACAGCTGAAGCAGAATAAATTTCTGAGTAATAATAACACAAGTATAATTAACACTTGAGTATAAAGTACATACATTTTAAAAACAAAAATCACATAGCGTTGTGTTATCCCAAAGCCTGGTACTTGGTTTGAATAGTAATAAAATATTTCAATTTATAGTCGCTGAAAATAAAACCCTTAAGTTTGTGTATGGGAGAGGTCCTTTTGGAAAAAAAACGCATATACGCATAGATAAATGCTGCGTACATGGTGCTCTGTATTTGCTGACAAGAAAAGCAGAGAATTGACCAGGAGGGGGTTTAAAGAACGTGTCGACATGCTGCAACACCCACGGGTGACCCAAGTGTTCATGGAGGGGGGTGGGAAGAACAATATTCGACTGTACACTGTTGCCACAAAGCTGAACTGTGAAATACATTCCTTACTCCAGCTTACATTTTGTGTCGCTTAAGTTAATGTAACATCTTGTAAATGGAAATACACTGTTCTTTAACAGCGTCACAAAAATGTAGACATCTTATGCGAGTTTTCACCTATAGGAAGTGACCGTGGGCTACTAACATATTTGGCTACATCCTCCCATAGCTCGTAAATCAATAAGGAACAGTCGGGCAAACCGGAAAAGGCAATGCCCAATAAAGGTGTGCATTCTTTATAGGTGTCTGTCCACGTTTGCGTTATCATTGGTTTTTCGGCGAATTGCATCATTGGGGAATCCCCATCTTCAAGTGCGTCACTCTTTAAATGCAGCACATCAAGTCGGAAACAGCCCACGCGCCTCCCACAGACAGGGGCGCACAGCTCCAGAACGTGTCAGCTTACTTGCTGATTTTTGTCTATGATGAATAAAAACGACCAAAACCACCGATGCGAGTATTTAGTTCAATATCCATCACGTATCACTGTAGCATGTGTATAATTTAAGTTACACAATTTCATTTATGTGGTCCACAAATATTTGGCATAGAGCGTAAGTAGTATTTTTCTGGGTCTATACCATTACCAGTATGACAATGACTGATGTTGTTTAGAGAACCTGAATAACCGAAATGCTTAATTATAACGTGCCGTATTCTAATGCCCCTTGACACCCCATTTTCTGCAAACTCTCTTAGTAACCCGCCTCTCTACCCGGGAGAGGAAGGCTCTTTTCGGTCAGATGGCGCTCTGCAGTCCGCCCCCGGGTCTCCCGCGCCCACACATCCAGCAAAAGGTTACTACAAACAATGAAGTTCGTCAAGGGAGAAAGGCAGCTAGCTATGCAGGCAAGCACAGGCAAATAGGCGTTTTAAGTGTGACGAACAAGTCTAGAGGCAATAATCAGACTGGTCGATTAATATATTAGTACAAAATAAAACGAAATTAATATAACTTTAAAAGTATCGCGCGCGTCGCCAGTTTTTTTTTTTTTCGATTTAATTTCCCCCAAAGAGCGGTCATACAGTCATCTGTCAGCGATGGGAGCATCTCTAACTTGTGGGACTAAAGCGACATACGGTTACAAAGCTGAAGGGCGTTAAAGCTCAACACTGCCTATCGCAAGAGTGGCGCGATATACGGTGATCTTACGAGGCATTAAAACACAGCCGGTGAGTGTATGAAAACTGGACACGGCTCCAGGAGATCCTTCTGAGATCACTTAACACACGGAGGTCTCCTCTGTCACTCACCATCAAACTGTCGGACTCGGACGAGGTAAGAACTGTATATTTTAAATCCATAAGTACTTTTTAAATATCCGTGAGGTAGACTTTAATTTTAAGAAAATAACCTGCGTTTAAAACCCAAGCCCGCAGTTTAAAAAATGTATTTTACTAGATCGATATCTTCTTTTTATGGATGCAGGATTTTTATAATGCCAATGATTTGATGGCTATACCTCCTGAATATGAATTTAAATACTCAGAAATTGCTGAACGTTGATACGTGGTTCTGAATTCCGCAATCCTGAAAACACCCATAAGTTAATGCGTTAGCCACGACTGTGCGATTCATTCTCGGGTTATAATTTGACTGCAAAGGGCATAACGAAATAATAGTACGTTTAAATGTGCTGCTTACAAATACAACTCAGCTACTTTTAGTTAGGGGAGGTGAATAAAAATGATTTTTTAAAACTCTTTAAATAGTTTGCGATGTATGTCTTCTTCCATAGTTTTGTACAGTACAGCTGAGAGATATATGCGTAGTTATGTTTTTTATGAATTATTAAGCGTGATAAAATATTGACCAGTCTTGATTCAATAATAATAATAATAATAATAATAATAATAACAACAACAACGATAATGATAATAATAATAATAAACTACAACAACAACAACAATAATAATAATAATATTTTGCCAGGGTTGAATAGGCTCTGCTTTTGATATTAACTGCAAGGTTAATAATGGTCTAGCATATTGACCTTTAGATTTGATTAAATAAATAAATTCAATAAATACTGCTTTAGACATGACAATAATGTGCCGTGAGCCCTGGACCAGAAAGGCGGACACCACAGCAGGACCAAGGAAAGATCACAAAACAGGCGAAGCAGCTTATAAAAATTCTCATGTATGCTCACGAAGACCCAGACTTCACAGTGTTCAGAAAAAGAGTAAAACGTTTCTGTGTGTAATTAGAGCCAGGAGATGTTTAGGAGCCAAGATCAAGTACTCTAAATGGTTTGTTTTTGTGGTTTTATTTTTAATTTTGACTATTTGCAGTAGCATAGCGTCAAACATTATCTGTAGCAAACCACTATCCTCCCACACCTGGGCATGGCTAGACTGTCTTGTTGGTCACTTGAAATCAAATGCATTTAGTAAAGAGCTTGTAATTAATCTCAAAAGGAGAATGTAATATGTTCATATTTTTTCTTGCTGATCTAGTTCTCTTCCTGCTACCGGTTCTCCCCTCAGGTCACTATGTCCCTGCCGCGCACGCTCGGGGAGCTACAGCTGTACCGAGTGTTACAAAGGGCCAACCTTTTGGCATACTATGACACCTTCATCCAGCAGGGCGGCGATGATGTTCAACAGCTGTGTGAGGCTGGGGAGGAAGAATTTTTGGAGATAATGGCCCTGGTGGGTATGGCCACCAAGCCTCTACACGTGCGGCGTCTGCAGAAGGCTCTCCGAGACTGGGCTGCCAATCCGACGCTGTTCAACCAGCCTCTGGCCAACGTGCCGCTAAGCAGCATCCCCCTGTTCAAGATCGACACCAGTGGGAGCAGCGTGGGGGCGGGGACAAGGAAATCTGTGAGCAACGGGCAGCCGGGATCTCCCTGTGAGAGGGAGGAACGGGTGTCGCTCACTCCCATGCGGAGCGGAAGCCCAAAAAGCCCATCCTCCCAGTCCTCCCCACAACCTCCTGACAACCTCTATAGGGACAAGCTGTCTCCTATGGACCCACACTGGCTAAATCCAGATCAAGATAGTGGCAGTGCATCAGGGACGATGGTGGATGAGGATCAGTCCAGCCCTCCACTTCCCCCGGCAGGACCCTCGACTCCTCCGGCCTCTACTTCCTCCTGCGTCTCAGCCTGGCCCGGAGGACGACTCGACCTGGAAATGGTGCGACTGGTGGCGGACAGTGTGGGGCGGCACCTACGCACTGTCCCGAAGACTGAGCCAGGGGAGGTGATGACTCTTCTCAACCTGAACAAGAAGCTGGCCAAAACTGTGGGCCACATCTTCGAGCTGGGGCCTCACGACCCGGCCAAGGAGGAGGAGATCCGCAAGTACAGCCTCATCTATGGACGGTTCGACTCCAGGAGGCGAGAGGGCAAGCAACTGTCACACCATGAGGTGAGAGCGAGGACATCTGCCAAGCAGTGAGGGGAAAGTGATACTGGAATCAGCCAGTCACTAGGTCAGTTATGCTGCATTCCATTTTCCTCGGGGGTCAGAGGTCAGAGCTGGGAATGACGTGGCACCTGAGTTAACAACATTCCAGTACAAGTCGGAAAGCCATTTATCAATACCAGAGAACTGTTTCAAAAAGCAGGATTTCTTACTTAGCTGGATAACTTGTCAGGTTTAAGGTACCTCAGTTTAAACGGCCTTTATCTTCATTCCCTTACATTCAGCCCAGACTACCTTAAATCCAACAAGTTATGTGGCTGTACAAGAAGTCCTATTTTCTGAAACAGACCCCAGTTCAAGCCAGGTTCATTGTTAACCATTGTTAGCAATACCAGTTGATAACAAAACATTATGTGGTATTTTGCGCATAAAAACACCTTAGCAAAATACCCACAGATAGTGGTTGGACATGTACGACTGATTTAATGAGCCACAAATAAGACCTAAATGCTAAAATACAGTATATAACAAAATTTTTCACTTCTGTTGATGAAGGGCGCAGCCATCTTGAATTCTGAGATCAGGGTTGCAGAGGTACCTGCAACCTTCCCAGTCGGTACTCTGACATCAGGGGGCGTTCCAATTGAAATTTCTGACTAGGAACTTGGAAATTCCGACTTCCGAGTTCAAATGAAATGCAGCATTAGATACATAGCTAATGTCATTCCAGCATTTTCAAGCTCTTTCTTATAGACTTACATACAATCACTGGAGGTTTTTCTTTTTTTTAGATTGATAATGTTCTATTTAGCAAATGCCATGTACAATAATAATGTATGGTATCGTTAACCTTAAAAGTGTGAAATAGAAAGGTTTGTATGTTTATATATATTAATTTAAACCATCCATCCATTTTTCATAACTGATCTGGTACAGAGTCATGGCAAGAAAGCAGAAGGAACACCCTGGTTCAGATGCTGTCCACTACAGGGCACACATAGTCACACAGTAAGGGCAATTTAGAGATACTAGTCCACATATTTTTGGACTGTGGGAGGAGACTGGAACACCTAGAGGAAACTTGCGCAAATTCCACACACGCGGAACCGGGGGCGGGAGTCAAATCCTCAGGCCTGGAGGCGTGACGACCACAGCGCCTTCATTTACGTCGATCTCCTGGCATTTCATGAGCCTCCGTCCTGCTTTTTAAAGTGGGCCTGCATTTAGCATGCTGACAGACACGACTTCTTCTTCGCCTTCTCAACCTGCTCTTCTGCCGAATCGGCTGCTCGCTGGCCACGCGCAGATGCTGATAAACGAGGCGGCTGCGCAGTTCTGCATTTGCGACAATGCCCTGCTGCTGAGGCGGGTGGAGCTCTTCTCTCTGGCCAGGCAGGTGGCCCGGGAGTGCGCCTACACCTCCACGCTCAAGAAAGCCAGGTCAGGATCTCGCCTTTGTGCTCTCGCGCTGTGATTTCAGGGGTTATATCATCAAACGGTCCCCTTTCTGTCCCTCACCACTGCCACTCATGGTGTCAGCAGCTATTCCGAAGTAACAGCTACTTTCATTAGTATACTACTTCACTGTCAGAAAAAGGGTACAGACTTGGTACAGTTTTGTTCCCCAAGGTACAAACAACATCAATGTACCCCAATGGTACAAAAATGTTCATCAGAGTCCATTTCTGTACCTTAAATTAGACTAAAAGATACATTTACCTACCTCTAGGGTACAACTGTCAGACCCTTGAGGGTACGGTCCCAGTGACAAGTAATTGTACCCTCACACGTACAAATCGGTACTATTTCTGACAGTGTAGTACCCTACTATAGTACTCTACTGGCCTGATGCCTCTCTATGTTCTCTGAATGTTCTTAGTGTTGCACTTCTGGTAATTTAATTGTCTTATTAGGTTCTTGCTTAGTTTGGAAGATATTGTTCAGTTCTTGCTCATATACTACTTACAGTTATAACTGGGTATTCGTTGGAAGCTCAGCCTAGATGTAGTTCTGCTTAGTCATCTCCTCAACAGCACGTATATTTCTAATGTGCTATGTCTTCCTTGTATGTCACTTTGAACAGACGTCTCTGCTAAATAAAAATCAATGTAAATGTAAACATAAATGTAGTAGAATCTTATTATAACAACTGTGGATTTTTAATTCCTCTAATATTAATATCTTGCAGAGGTTTATGAGGGATGTTAATCTTTTGTATAATTTTCATATATTTGAAAATACATGTCTCGTGTCAGTGGTATTAAACTGTGACTGCTGTTTCACTGGGAAAAGAAACTCAACAGTACTCCAAACAAATGATATGACCTTGTGCAAATATGTCAACAATATATTTAAATGCATTTAAATTGCTGCAGTGTAATGACTGAAGAAATGTAGAGAAGTTTATTGGCATTAATAATCATTGTACAGTCTTTCAGTGATGCTAATTGTATCTCTGGAAATAGGACAAGTACAGAAGAATGTGGCCTGCCATCCCAAAAGCGCATGAAGCAGGAGGTAAGCGTGTTTCAAAGCATCTCAGGAAACAGCAATCTGGCTTCGTAATATGATAAAACATGTGGTATGTAGCTGGCTTTTTCTGCGGGATTTCCGCCTCAGTGCCGAAGGTTTACTCTGCTGCAGGTGACCGTGTCTGACTCCCTCCATGACACTGCTGAGAGGCCCGTGGGGGGGTCAGAAGGTGGACACCAAGGAGTGTTAAGGCCAGGGACGGACGAGGAGAGCCTGTCGGGGGAGAGTCTGGATGGCTCATCACAAGGTATTGATTTCTGGGCTGTCAGGAGAGAAACAGAGGCTGCTTTTCCACCACTCTAGGTACCATACTTTTGGTATGGTGCTTCTGGTACTTTCCCTGTTCCATCGACTTCCAGTTGAGAACCAGTACCAAAAGTTCCAGTTCCTAAAGTACCAAATCAGCTGGGGTACTTTTTTGGTACTTCGATACTTTGGGGTGGGATGTGCAAACATGTTCATTGTGGATCGGATATGCAAATAGCCTGCCTCTGAAACATAATACAACCACCATTCTGAAAAAAGTTAGGAACACAGAAAACAATGATAAAGTAAAAAACAAAAAAAAGTAATAATAATAATATATGCGTGGACAAATGAAGAGACCCAAGCTTTAATTGCGATCTGGTCAAAAGAATCAGAGGAAGATTTGGATGGTATGAGAAGATAAAAAGTATTTGCTATAATATACTAGAGCTGCACGATATTGGGAAACAATGAAATATCACAATGTGATTTTGTAATAAATATTGAGATATTTACAAAAAAAAAAAAAAGAGTTTAAAATAAATTTCTCACAAACATGTCTAGGAATGATTTAAACTGCAAGGATGAAAACAATCATGAATGTCTCGGAAAGTGCATGCAGAGCTTATGCAAAAGCAGTGACCGTAAACTTGAAATTGATTTTAAAAAATAATAAATCAGCTGCAGTACCGGTTTTTAAACCAACACGTTGAAGTACTTTTGGTACTTTTCTGAATTGGGGAGCGAAAGTACTGTACCTGTTGCAGTGGAAAAGTGCCCAGAGACACCACTGTTCTGTCCCCATTGACCACCTACTGCTGCTTATAATCGCACATTTTGTCTACATTTTATGATCACGAGCCATTAATGTGATTTCTTCTCTATCTGTCCTGGCAGACCTGGGCTCACAGTCCAGCCATTCTCAACCCCCCTGCCCTCCTGTTGATGGCTCTGCTCACACAGCCTTAAGTCGCCACCTCGTGAAGCAGGCGCTCATGGATGAGGGGTTGCGATTGGCTAGGCTGGTGTCACATGACCATATGAGCAAAGGCTGCCCAGGGACAAGGTGTATTCAAACTACAGGTAAATTGACTTACTAATGCAATGTAATATATATATATATAAATACAAATATATATATACAGATGCTCCTCTACTTGCGAATGAGAAACGTTCCGAACGGCCATTCGTAACTTCAAATGTTCTTAAGTCATTATTCAACATCATTTTAGGGGTATATGCAAGTACAAAGAACTAGGATGCTAGGAGTCCACACGCTACGCAGCTGCGCGGTGCGAGTAGCGGCCAGAACTCGTACTAGGCAGAAATTGGCGCATAGAAAAAAAATTGATGTTGCGGATAGGAAATGGGAGCCAAATTAACACAATTTGGACTTACAGTTCTCTTCGTTCGTATGTCTGAAAGTTCGTAAGTTGAAAGTTCGTAAGTAGAGGAGCGTATGTGTGTTTACATATATATACATATATATGTGTGTGTGTGTATGTGTGTGTGTTTGTGTGCAAAAAAAATGTTTTCAAGTAATCATATTATTATTAAAGGTGTGTAGATCCGTTTATGCAAAAAGATAGTTTTCAAAGATATAATTTAGCAATTATACTATAGCAGTCATACAAAAAAAAGTGTCTACTTTCTGGTCATCTGCCTCATTTACTGTATGTATGTAACTGGAACTGAGAGGGAAATAGAGAGAGAGATCTGGGTTTGGGTTGTGGGGGAGTTGTGGGGGCGTTGAATTAAGCAACCCCCCCACCCCCACCCCCACACCTGACAGCAATATGTGATTTTAAGAACTATGTGTGATGAGTGGTGCTTTGAGGATAGGGTGGATGGAGAGAAAAGGGACTGAGTGGGTGGTGGCAGTGGTGAGAGGGGTGGGGGGCTGCATTGACTCAGGCAGCGCAGAGTAAAAATAAAATGTGTGGGCAGGGAATAGATGTCATTTGTTTTTTGTTGTTTTTTTTTCTTTAATATTACATAAAACCCATCTTGTTTCCTATGGGCCTGACGTCAGCGCTTCCTTCTCCTTCGTGCGCGGCTGAACTCGGCCGCTGGGCTCTCATCCGCCGTTTATTCGGCCCCTTGAATTCGAATGGCTACGGAATGACTCCCGGCCTCGTCTGCGATCTCTGTTCGCCGCAATGTCTGTTATATACAGGGAGCTGCAGCACGAGATTTATATGACTAGATGTTTCAGTAGAATTACAGAAGGTAGCAAGCAATACAAGGTATAAAGGAGAGGTGCAGAGGAGGAATATGGTTATTTACATTGCCGTCTTTTTGTGGAAGACATGGTGTTTTTATTTTTAAATCCAAAAGAAAATACATGAAAAAATTAAATGTAAAGATGACAGTGAATATGTGTGTGAATGGTGTGTGTCTCCTGTGATGGGTTGGCACCCCACCCTGGGTTATTCTCTGCAATGCTCCAGACTCCTGTGACCCTGCATGGGACAAATGGGTATGGAAGATGGATGGATGGATGGATGGCAAAGATGACAGACTGCTTGTTATAAACATGTTATAAAGCTGTGATCCACTGCATTGTGATTTAGGTATCATTGATTTGGGGGGAGTCACATGACAGTATTATGTGTATGAGTTTCGCCTTGTTTTCTGGGACATTCGTGAGCCATTCCCTGCCTTTGCAGAGCTGGAAGACAAAGCTTTGGAGAAGAGCGACTCAGATAAACCTTGCAGAAGAAGCAGCTCCTGTGGCATTAAAGATCATTCTGGAAAAGAGAAGGGCACTCTCTGAAAGACCCCCTCACCCGCTCTCTTTTCCGTACCTCCCTCCCCATCAATGTCCATTTGGGCAGTAATACTTTTTTGGCTTTTAACACCAAAAGCCAAGCGATGCTTTAGCAGAGAAGAGCAGGCCACAGCATCCCTGCTGTAATTTGGAAGGCCGCGGATTAACACTTTAGAAAATTGATCTGATCATTTTATTTTTTGTAGGTTACACGTCGCGACTCTATAGGCACCCCGGTGCTGTTGTTTCTTACAGAAATCTTCTTGCACTGATAGACTTTAGACTTACTCTCACTGCAGAAATATAACAACGCTTTAGATGGCAGATGCCATAATACTGTTTCATCACATGTCTAGGTACCTTTCTTCCGGCCGATCAAAATCAATCGTCTGATTTGCTCAATATAGCCTCCTGAGACCCAAGGAAAAAAGTGTCCTTCAATTTTAGTTTTTTTGTCTTTGGAGGAAATAAGACATCTTACAATTTAGATTTTTTCAAATGTACTTTTATATCTAATTTCACAGCATGTCCTCTTTAGTGTACAACAGAAATAAATATGTTTCCTTACATCAGTGAAAAGATAGATGCAAAAACAAAATGTCCACTACAATGGACATAAATGAATGGATGGGGTCTCAGGAGATTACAGTATCTTGGCTAACATAACAACAGCAGTTCTTTCTGCTTTCTTAATATTGTGGTGGCATCTTGGCATCATATGTTAAAGTAGTAGTGCTTACCCCCACAGTATTCATTATTGATTTACAGTTTTTAAACACTTCAGGTGCTACAGCATTGATATTGCTTAGCTGAACAGTTGGAAAGTTTCTGTGCAGTTAGTGGTGTGAAAGAATCCATTGATTCTTTGATACTTTAAGATGCATAACTTAATGTTCTTTTAGACATTGGTCTTTGATAATAGAGAATTACATCCTTTAGACAAAGACTCAGTGCATTATTATTTGGTAGATTGAGATCGCATGTTGTTTCTATACTATAATGACTCCATCTTATAGCAGAAATCATTTTAAATTTAAAGTGAGCATTGCCTGGGTGATAACATTTTCAGTTGTAGACAACTAATGTACAAAACAGACCATGAGGTGTTATCCGGTTATGAAATCTGCAAAAGTTCGCCTCAATCTAAATGCTGTCTAATGAACTAACAAGGGCAGTTATGTTGTTTAGAGTATGGTACTGATCTAATTGCTGGAAAATCTCAAGTCTAAACACTAAATCACTGGGTTTAAAACTGGGTAAATGTTTAAGCCTGGTTGTATGAATCTAAATCAAATCTGTGTGAAAAGTGTTAAAATAATTATAGAATGGATGAAGGATTCTTCAGCTGTATCTATAGTATTATGAAAATTTAGCTTTTCACGCAAAGTAACAGGACCGGCATGTATTTTAACTCAGGATGTAAAGGATCACACAGCTCATATCCCAATGGAAGAGTCTGGATCATTGATTTTTCACCCAGGAAGCATTTGGCAACCTTTTACATCTCAATGCATTGTATTATAATGTATAGATTATCTATTTTGTTAATTTTCAATAAAAAGATATTTTACAGATGTGTGTTTTATTTTACTACAAATTCAAACAATATTAGCTAAATGAAACATTCTTAAAAAAAACTTAAAAAAAAAGAATATTTTAAGAATTCTGAAACATTTATATAAATATATCTTTTTCAGCTCGAAAAAGAGGATTACACTATTATAAGTTTCGCAAAGAATGTCTAAAAAAATAAAAAATACTGCACCAAGTCAGAACAGACCAGTACAACCACATATGTATAATGTTCAAAATCTTCTCCTGGACCCGGGATGTCAGTGCAGTGTCAAATTGTGACTAATACTGAGGATTAGTTTTAAATAAGAAAGGCATCAAACTACCAAAAACACAAAACCAAGCACTATCTGGAAATATTGAACAGAGTTTGAAAATATAAATGTTTGAAAGACCAAGGGACTTAGGGTGACCATATGTCCTCTTTACCTGGACTTGTCCTCTTTTTCGGTACCTAAAAATGTCTGAAATGTCCAGGATTTAGCTCAGAATACTTTCTTAGTGCATATTTGCATTGCTTTGACACCCCTCTTTGCGTCCTGTCAGGGTGTCCTCTTTTACACAAAGCAAAATATGAACGACCCTAGGAAGTACCCTACCTGATTTCTGGACTATTTAAGCTTATGTAGATATACAGCACTACACCCAGTAACAACGACACTAACTAGCAAAGCAGACCTGTGAGGTTTGGCCTCCTGGAAGAGCTGACTAGAATATGAAGATTCGTACGTCGGTATTTAGTTTCTTGGTGTTCTTGAGTGGGCTGAGCAAGCTCAGCAGCTTTATTAGCTGCAACGTTCGTAATAACGACACGGGGATTGGCTCAAAGAGTTGATGTGAGCGAGTTCAGGGAAGCTGTGAGACTCGGCCCCAAGGAGACGAAGCCCACGCTCTCCGCTGTTCATATGGCTGCCTGTTCACAAATGCTAATGTATTCGTGTTATTTCAGCTGGTTCTCTGATTCTCCGCTTTCTTCCCCAGGCTCTGGCTGTCGTCAACATTTGCTTGTAAGGTAGAAGGAATGGTAAAGGCAGGACCGCCTCACAAATATCCCCTGTCAAGGCACAGGGCTTCTAAAATTAGTGCATGGTGAATTACACCGCAGATGTTAATGACCCCTTGTAAAGAGGAATACTGCAAAAATTAATCAGGTGTGTTAAATGAGGGGAAACCCAAAAATGTGCAGGGCTCCGTCCCCCCAGGACTGGACTTTGACACCCCTGCACTACAGTATAGATATAATATACATAGAACCAGGTTAGGAAATATTAGTAAACAACCGGAACCTATCCCGGGAACAAGAGGCATAGGCGGGAGCAATTAATAATATAGTGTGCATTATATGTACCTTGGAACGGATGCCAGTCCATTACAGGACACATACACATACGTATACAGTGAAAAAATTTAGGACACCCCATTAAATATTTAATTCTTTATTAAGGAATATCAATATCAATATTAAATCTTCTTTAAAATTCATATGTAGATAAAGGCAATGTAATTGTATCACCTACAACATCAAGAAACAAATTCACTTATTTAACAAAGATGGCAATTCCTATTGATGAAAAAGTTAGGACACCCTGTGCCCTAATAACTAGTATTTCCCCCTTTGGCTGAAATAACCTCAATGAGTCGTTTCATATAACCATCTATCAATCTCTGACATCGACTGGCAGAAAGTTTTCCCCACTCTCCAATGCAGAATTCCTTAAGCTGTGTGATGTTTGAAGGGTGTCATGCATGCACTTCTGCTTCAAATCACCCCATAGCAATAAGATTCAGATCCAGGCTTTGACTTGACCATTCCAGAACTCTCCATTTCTTTCTTGTAAGCCATTCCCTGGTAGATTTACTGGAATGTTTTGGGTCATTGTTATTTGCATGGTCCACCCCCACTTCAGCTTCAACTTCTGGTCAGATGTTTTCATATTGTCCTCAAGTACCCTCTGATATAAGGAAGAATTCATAGTGGATCCTATGATGGTGAGCTGGCCAGGTTCTGCTGCAGCAAAGTAGCCCCAATCCACGATATTTCCACCCCCATGCTTCACAGTTGGTATGAGTTTCTTTTGCTCAAAAGATGTCTTTGGTTTATGCCAAACATGTCCTCTGTTACTGCAGCCAAATAATTCAATTTCAGATTCATCTGTCCAAAGCACATTGTTCCAAAAGTCCCGGTCTTTGTCTAGGTGGGTCTCTGGCAAACTTCAGTGTTGCCCAGATGGTTTTTGACAGCAAGGGTTTCCTCCTTGCATTTGTAGGACTTCACAAGGAAAACCAGTTACAACTATGGTCACCAAACCTTAAAGAAACAGAATTGCTACGACAGGGATAATCGAGGAATGGTCTTAAATGGTTGCTTATGCAAAGGAAAACTTGAAACACTAAATCTTAACAACTATATATAAAAATATTTCAAGGAAAATGTCTAGTTCTAATGAATACTTTTCTATTATTACTAATGTGAGCACATGAGAACACGAAAGGAAACTGGCTGGAGATCATTTCCTTACACAAATGGCTGTGGAGGCCTTGAATTAGACCCTGTGTGGTGGAGTAGGAGACACAATCTTCCTTTACGTCAGCAACAGATTACCGTTTACAAACACTTCACACGACACCCGAATGTGCAAGATGTACAGCATTTTAGGTTTTACTAATGGCTCATTCACTTGTATATTTTTAGTTTTCTGTTTGTATAAAAGGAGATTTCAGACAGGTGATCAGGGCCTTCAGTCCTGTCCTTCCTGGCACAAGCTCCAGACTCTCCATGAGCCTGTATTTTCTAAAGAAAAAGATGAAAATAGATACACGCATTTGTGGAACTATTTAACTTTTTGTACAGCTTTTACCAACTGTCTACCTAAACTGAAGGAAAGTAGAGTAATCACTATAGATAATGTTAAGACTTAATTAATTGTGGCTGCCCTCTCTGCCCTTTGAGATGGATGTTTGGTGCCGGTCCCTGATAGGTGCTGTCCATGAATCATAATGAATCACTGACTTCAGATGCATCCTGCTCATCCCGCTCGAGGTCCACTCAGAATCTGGGGGCTGAATGCAGACAGCAACATGAACAGGGACATGCTGGTAAATCCAGGGGGCACTGAAAAAGCAGATCTGCCCACTTGCAGTTCTTCTGTTTTGTCTGCCATTATTTCTGTCATTATCAAAATGATAATTCTCAGTTTCAATCAGTTGGTTTTGTTTACCAATATGTAGATGGGACTAATGAAACTTCCCTATAAAGCTGGTCAAACAGAACCAGAATGAAACTGTGAGGTATTTAGCATGCATTTTACCCAACCTAACTATACCTATTTTTTAGTCGTCTACACATAGGCAGCACATCCCAGCACTGCCCAAGCTAAAAACTCTAGCAAATCTGTCAAAAATAATTTCAGTTGAATGTTCTCATCATTTCAAATAAGTTTTAGACAGCTGACCAGATCTACTCAAGAGGAAATTTGTTGATTTCAGTTTAAAATCATAGCAACATAGACCAGTTTAGCTACCAAAAAAATGCAACAAAAGACAGACTGTCATATACGGACAAAACGTTACTTGCTGTCGATTTGTTTTTAGCAGTGACCGAAAAGCATGCATTTTGTCACTTTAAGTGTCTTATGACTTAAGACACTTAAAGGCTAAGGCTTGTACTACCACAACAAATTCATAGCCATAGCAAGGAAGGGAAACTGGAAAAGGTATGTATTTAACTCATCTGCAAGATGCAAGGTTTTCATAACCTTTAATCTTTTGGTGTGGGAAAATGACATTTATTCTAGCAGGACAATTGACTTTATCAGTGTGCACATAGGAGCTCTATGAAGCCCCTCGATTGGCCACGAAAGCTTGGTGTTATTTGTTTACAGTCATGTATGTGGAGAAGTCATTCAATCAGAGCCATTTTTACTTTGTAGGACTTTCTTTCTTTGTTTTACTCCTGTATTTCGTGTGAAGTGGCTTATTCATCAGCATTGTGACAGCCGACAGGGATGTGTGCATTTTATAAAGAAGGGATTCCTGTGAAGCCTCGCGTAATATAACTCTCAAAATGGGCGTGAAATAGAGAAATAGAGGGCGTGACTGTGTTGAGAAGGTTGCAGTTAGGTAACTGTGTGTCATACTGAGGCAATACACATGCATCCCCCCCCCCCCCCCGCCCCCCGCCATTGCAATTCACCTCCCTAAATTTTGTTTTTGTTCACAACTCAGTGATGTTTTCTCCCACCAAAACACTTGTGCATTTCCTCCGCTGATTTGATCCTAAGTAACTAAGGGGAAGACAGAATGCCAACAAAAAAAACCTTTATGTGTGTTCAAAAAGCTCTGTATGTTTCTGGTGTACACACAGCCATGCAGCCGTATTCACCAGGAAAGATCACGCATTCCTCCTCAAAGTCTGGAGATGTTCTTCACAGAGCATATGTTAAAGGACTCATTAGCACTTAGTGCATCAGTGCTTACTGAAAAGTGCATGTTTGTTTTAAACATTAATTAGCACTTTGCACAGCATGAAACTAAAATTCCCTATCAGGTGCTGGGATTAAGCTGTGAAATGTATCTGTTAGCTGCTCCTGGTAACCATATGGGTTTCCCCACATCTTCTCATCGTTCGCTGTATTACTTACAGTATATGAGAGCCATAATTACTGCATTTTCCATTCCCAGGACATATACACTACATGGCCAAAAGTATGTGGACACCTTACCATCACACCTGTATGTCCTTGTCGAACATCCCATTCCAAAACCTTGGCCACTAATATGGAGTTGGTCTCCCTTTTACTGCTGTAACAGCCACCACTCTTCTGGTAAGGCTTTCCACAAGATTTTAGAGTGTGGTTGTGGAAATTTCAGCCTATTCACCCACATGAGCATTAGTGAGGTCAGGCACTGATGTCGGGTGAGAAGGCCTGACTTGGAGTCGCAGTTCCGATTCATCCCAAAGGTGTTCAGTGGGACTGAAGTCAGGCCTCTGTGCAGACCAGTCATGTTCTTCTCCCACCAACCTTGCCAAACCATGGATTTATCAACCTGTCTGTCTGCACAGGGGAATAGTATGGCTAGAACAGGGAAGGGCATTCCACAAACTTTGCCACAAAGCTGGAAGCGCACAAGTGTCTAAAATTTATTGTATGCTGATGAATTAAGGTTACCCTTCACTGGAACCACTGGGCCTAGACTAAACCCTGGACAGGACACCATTATGCCCTCTCCACCAAACTCTACCTTAATCACTGTGCACAGAGACAGGTAGTGCTCTCCTGGCATCCCTCATCCATCAGACTGCCAGGTCGTGAAGCGTGATTCATCAGTCTTGGGAATATGTTTCCAGTGACCCATAGTCCAATGGCAACGTGCTTTGACAACACTTGGTGTTGTGAATAACAAATTGGCCATGGACACTCAGTCCATAAAGCTCCTAATGGGCAGTTCTTGCACTAACAGTGCTTTCCAAGTCAGTTTTAAACTCTGTAGCTAGTGTTTCCATCAAGGAAAGGCGTTAACATGCCACGTGGCTCGGCGCTCTGCGGTCTGGCTTTGTCAGCGTGCGTGACCCACCTCTTCATGCCTGAGCTCTCAATGTTCCTAGATGCTTCTCCTTTACAAAAACAGAACTAACCGTTGACTGAGGCAGGTCTAACAAGGCAGAAATTTTATGAACCGATTTGTTGGAATGGTGGCATCCTGTGAAATCACTGAGCAGCTTCTACTATCAATGCTTGTCTATGGAGATCGTGTGGATGTGCGTTTCATTTTATTCACCTGTTAGCAATGGGCTTAACTCTCTCAACCCGGTCCTTGGGAACCCCCTGAAAATTCACATTTTTGCACCCTCCCAGCACCCTGCAGCTAATGGCTGATACATTCCAGCAAGCTCATGCACGCAAAGCATCAGACATGTATTTTTCTTGTTGAGTTAAACGGTTTCCTGAAAACTGCCTGTGTTTGGAAAATGTAGGAGTCCTGCTAGACATTCTGAGACCGGATGAAAAAAATAAAACGGCATATGAACGAGTCATCTTTCATTGAGATGTATTTCAGAGGCATAAAGAAACGTTTTCACAGCTTGGACAGAAACATGCCAAGCGGATAAGCACAGGCTGTACTTGAGGATCAAGCATCTGGATATATTTATGAGAAGCAATTAGTTATTACTGGCACTATAAAATGATTTCAGACTCACAGCCTGATAGTGTTCTTAAATTGCTGCTTTGTTAAAAATTAAGTATTTCAGTACTATTGCCTGCTGTAACAGACTGGCCATCACTTTTAACGTGGGCTTTACATTCTATCCCCTATGACCTGACAGAAATTTTAAATATCAGAACAAAGGCAAGGCATTTTATGTGAGAAGAGCATGTCTCACTTGCCATACGTCAGTCTCTGGAGGACATTTATGAAAAGCTGACTGGTTGGAGCTTTTCACTCGCAAGTTAGCAGCTGCCTAATTACAGTGACAGAATAAAACACCCAACTGCCGATACTGAACTTTCCATTCTGATCTGCGAGTCATGGTTTCCAAATGGTTCCCCCACGAGACAAACATTATAAGGTAAAGGTATGCCATATTACATTTATGCGACACTTATCAAAGCAACTTAGAATTTACAAACGCTACCTGGGATTTGAACTCATGCCCCTTTCCATCATTAGTACAAAAGGTCTACTTGTTCAGCTATGGGAGCTGCGATTATTAAACACAGAAATTTCTGCAATTCCCCTCTCCTTATTTACCATGGATTTACACACGCAAAGAAGAAATAATCACTTAGTATTTACTGTACTATACAAATATATCATATAAAAGTATACTGTAAACGGCTGCAAAAATAGAAATAGCTAATGTTTACTGATAATTTATAACCTTAAAAACATATTCATATACAATCATGTGTTTTGGTTAAATAATGTCAATTTCAGTATGCTGAGCTGACACTCTGTGGCAGTGCACTGATGCCTTGTGCCCAATGCTGCTTGGGATAGACTTGCATGTTATGTATTATCTGTTCCAAATAAATAAATCCCCCCCCCACCCCCACCCCCACCCAATGGTATCAAAAAAAAGTGGTAAGCAGACAGAATGATTGAATGCTCAGTTTTTAATTACTAACAACTGTAATTACCTACATAAATAAGAATATTTGCATTTATTTAAAAAAGATTACAGATTACAGATATATATGCATGCATGCGCACACACACATACACAGTACACATATATATAAGTTGCTGTGTTCACCTGCCTTTCCATCTCAAGGGTAAATTGTCTCCCAACAGCTGTGTGAGGTGGGTCTGTCCAGCATCGTGAAAGATCAACATTTTCACAAAGGTGATCAGTTTATTTGAACTTGAATGATGTTCTGGCAGGTTAGTGAGCAGGACTGAAAGTGAACGTTGGCATCTGGTTGGTGCCACCTAGTGCTTTGAGCTTCAATAGCAGCTAATTGCACTGAGCAACTCATCAACGTTTTATCAACTACAAATGTTTAACATAATTTTCTTGTTTACATTGTCAGTTTAAATTATTTAAATATGTTCTATTATGGCTTGATTACCTAAAAATTGGCCTGATGTACAGCACTTTGCAAAAAAGGCAGATAAAGAACATGTTTAAAGCTATTTATCTGGGTAGCAAGTGTACATTTGCCCAGAAAAAAAATATTTGAAAATATGCAAATTAATAGGAACACAATAAAAACTAACAAGAATTTCTTTCCGTTCTCCAAGAAGTTACTGAAATCTTGTTGGATGCCTAGAACAACACCGCTTCAGATCCCAAACCGCTTCTCAGGAGCGCCCCAGCCATTACATGCAGGTTCGGCGACTGCTTCTCCTATTCAGGGTTTGTAGGAGGCTTAGAGCTTATCCCAGAGGCTATGTGTGGAAGGGTTAGGGGAACAACCCAGGATGGGGGACCAACCCATCAAAGGGCACAATCACACACGAACACCAATGAGCAATCTGGTAACTCCAATTAGCCACAGGATTTTTTTGGACTGTGGGGGGGGCGGGGGGGGTACGGGACTCGGAAAACCCATAAGAAACCCCACAATTACACGGGAAGAACATGCAAACTCCACATGGAACCCTGGTGGAGACCTGACCCCAGGTCCCAGAGGTGTGAGGCAACATTACGAAACACTGTGCCACCCCCCAGCCATTCTATGTATTAGTTAAATGTCAGTTCAATTAATTAATTAATTAATTAATTAATGCGGTTAAATACCTCAAAGAGATAATGATTAGGCAAATATGGCATGTTGGTGGTGAAAAAACAGCCAGGTCTATCTGACGGTTCCTGCAAATGCTGGGGCGACCTTAGGAGAGGTTTCGAAACGGCTAAAACACTTTGGCAAACACAAAATCATAGTTGTACACCCACATGAAAATCATTTAAACATTGTTTTCTTTGACTGCCTTTCTCACAGTGCTCTATATGGTTTACACACCTTAAAACATGCCTGGAGTCACAGCTGGTCACACTGTGGTCTTACATCTTCAGGGCTGTGGGTTCAGTTCCTGCCCCCAGCTCTGTGAGAGGGTTTCCTGTAATTGACTGGCATCCCTCCTAGGATGCCCCCCCTTTAATGAGACAGACTCCAGGCTCCCAGTGACCCTCTACTGGAGGATGGATGGATATAAAATACCTTCTTGGGTGGGTTTTGGATGCATTTACTCTGATCGCAGTACTGTTTTCAATTTATGGATACAGAAATTATGAAAACGTATAGGATGGCTCAAGAAGCACAAGTCGTAATCAGTCTGTAAAGGAGCCCTGTGCAGGGGCCAATCAGGGTGGGGGGCCACATTGGACACATGCCGGATACCTCTATCACTGGTGTCATATGGATATGCATAAAGACTGCCTTCTCCTATTTGTTAATAAAATATATAGAATTAAAAATTACACATGGAATGTTATACAGACTTGGTCCTCTCAATAATTATTAAAAAAAAGTAATAGGGAATTCATTTAAGTTTTAACCCTATTTTTATTTACTTCTAACAGTTGTTGCATCAAAAAGTGACTCATATAAGTCATTTTCAAAATGAACTATAGCATCCTATAAACACAAGCAGTTATCTTCTTTTGAGAAAGGGTTTGGAACACACAAGGAAGTTTAGCACACACGAGAGAAACGGGGAACTCTGCCTCGTGGCAGTTTCGCCATGCCTTCCCACGAAGGGTCAGGTGACATGAGTATTGAGGTGCCGCAGAAATTCCCCAATGGTGGTGGTATTCCCGGGGAAGACGGCCCGGCAGAACTCACACACCTGCGACTGCAGTGCCACCTCAGACATCAGGAGACCACCGGCCTGGCTCAACATTTCACTGTTCAGGAAGGAGCTGTTCATCCAACGCCTTTGGGTGGGAGGCTGGAGATGGAGGGGAGCCGTGATGGATAAATGTGGCCAAGGATAGTGAGAAAAGAGAAAATAAATAAGAACTGGGTTCTAAAGAGCACGTGATGGTATTTTTGAAAAGAAAAATTTTACATGGGAGAGAAAGTTTATTCCTGCTTTATTCATGTCTGGCTTTACCTTTTGCTCGTGTTCCATTGCATGGTTGGCAAAGGCACCAAAATTGTTAGGGGTCTCTCTCAGGCGCTGCTCCTCTCGCATAAGGTCAGCCAGAACAGCAGTAGGTGCTGTGTTGCCTCTGGCAGCCCCCAAGGGACCCATGGTAGCTATTTTGTGAACCTCCACTGGTCTGATGTTAGGTGACTCAGCAACTTGCAGATGCAGTCTGTTCAAACCCTCGGCCAGGGGGTATGAAGCACCACTGCAACTTCCTGCCACAGGACTGGTTAAGAGCAGGTCAGCTGGATGCGGGTGAATGCCAAGTGGCATCCTGGATCCCTCAGACTTGTGCTCTTCCTCCATGCACTGGACAGGCAGAGACACTTTCACCTCTTCACTCACATTAGGTATGTGGGACACAGCTAGACATGCAAAAAATACTTCATCAAAAAAACGGCTTAACAAATGACAAGTTAGTGCTATTTTATCTGCCGCAAACATGTCGGAACGTGCCAGTAACCTTGTTGCTGTTTCAGCATCTCCATTAGTTTACTGAGAAGGGCTGCCTGCTTTAAGCACAATGATCGCAAACGAAGGAACTCCATGTACAAGTCCCTGTATGCCTCCTCCATTGGTGAAGTGCTGGAAAACAAGTACATTCTGACACGGCCTCTGTTTGTGCAGGGGATTGTTAGAGATTAAAGACAAAATTCCATTGTTGCACTTGAGTGCCATAATTGAGCCCAGCCCACAGAAATATTCAGACGGAAGTGAACAATTTTATAGAACAAACATCAGCTGAAGTAACTGGTACCATTGTGGCACTATATTTGTCCTTTAAATGTGGCTAATTGTGTTTAAATCTGGTGCAGTTTTGGTCATATTTAAATAGCAGAAAAGGGGAAGCAGCAACTATACCAGAGGAAATGAGGCTGTTTTAGATTTGGGTCCTTGTTGTGTAATGTTGAACTTTAAGTAGAGGTATTTGATCGAGCTGCAGTTTATATATATGGTGCAGAAGGGAATTCCCAAGTTAATGCTTACTACTTAAAAGACTGATGACAAAAAATGTTCATGCATGACATGAAGTTCCTTTCCGAGTCTGTGGAAAAAAGTAAAATTTAAAAGGAAAAAAAGACAAGAAATCCACAAAGGAATCACATTAAATCTAACTTAAAATACACAAGTACACTATTCAACTTACTTGAAAGCGGAATCACTAATGAATTGTGTAATTATGTTTGAAACATACATTTCATAATGAGCATTATCTTAAAAATAACACCACACTTCATCATATTGCGCAAACTAAGGAAGAACAATAAGATTTCAGTTAAACGTTCTGTACTGGCCTCCTAAATGTGACAAAAAAGTCCTCAGATAATCAGTTAATACTGCCGACAACTGTGAAACTGAAAAATTCTTTATCGATTAAGTTCTTGCTCCTTTACCGTAATGCAGGTAAGAACCCAATGGCCGATTATGTTTTGCAGTCCGTGCATGTAGCCGCGACACATCGTAGCGAATTCATAACAGAAACACTGTCTATCCAAAGCACTTGTTTAGGAAGGAAAGTTAATCAAGAAGCTAATTTTACCGTCGATATACTACCTTCTTATTCAACTGCACGCTGAAACTATGAGGATGACACGTTATCTCAGCTCATCTGACTACTGGGATCGAGAAAGGAAATGGAACGTCACATCGCTTACCGTCACTCCTAATAAAAGAGAGAGAGAGAAAAAATGAAACAGGAACTTCATCAGTAAGCATGGATGTTTTATCCTAGAGCTGTATAATGGAGGGCACGGTTGTGACGTCTGTGATTTTGTCTGCACGATAAAAACCAGAATTTCTGGTCTTTTTAGGCAGATTTTTTGCGGTTTTGGCCGGAGTGGCAGACCTGCCGGCTCTCTGGCATCTGGCGTGACGCTCACATAAGAAATGTTACGGCAGATATACATGTATTATTCCATTATAAACCTAAAATTAGCTACACCAAAAGCGTTGGGGTTGTTTGCAAACCCTACAGACTATTTACAAGGTAATGAAACTGTTACATACATGTAAATGAGTGTGCAGACTTTACTCGAATTGAAAACCTCACGCCAGCCAGCTAACCAAAGTTGGACTAATATATGTGACTATTTCTTACAAAATACGTCACACTATAATTGAATAGTGCCTTCTCCCTTGTAATGTCATTTTGTCTTTTAAATAATTTTATACTAATCTTGTCGGTCATAACAGCCATTATCGAGGGGCTCAATAAACTACGTTTATACTATCATGCCAGTTGACTTGGTAAAGTTGGTTGAGAAGGCTCCTGTTATAGCACTGTAATCCGTTTAATTCTGTAATACTGCATTGGGCATGAAGCTTGAATTAATAAGACAAAAACGTAGTAAACTTCTTCATTTCCCCTTGTGTATCCCACAATACACCCAGTTTCCGGTAGTATCATCGTAAACACATTAAAGTATCGGCTTTGCCTGCCATAGCAGTGTTGCCGAGTCCGCTTATTACGTGGTATTTTGACGGTGTATTGATTTTCCAAATCAACGCTGTTTATTCACCGAGTGGTGAAATCCAAAACTGTTTCCAGACTAGAAGGGTGTTTTTGGCAGTTACTATATCGCTGCATTATTCTTGTGATTTACACATTAAGTCACTAGTTTCCTTGATGGCTAGTTTCAGCTCAATAAAAAATACAGACGCTCCTCTACTTACGAATGAGTTACGTTCCGAACGGCCATTCGTAACTTGAAATGTTCGTAAGTCGTAATTCAACATCATTCTAAGGATATACGCAAGTACAAAGATCTAGGATGCTGGGAGTCCGCACGCTACGGTGCTGCGCGGCGGGAGTAGCGGACAGAAGCCGTACTAGGCGGAACTGGCGTGCTGAAAAAAAATGATGTTGTGGACAGGAAACGGGAGCCTATGGCAAGCCGTTTTAACATTTAATTTCAGACACAGTGGTACCTCGGTTCTCGAACTTAATCCTTTCCGGACACCGGATCGAATCCTAAAAAGTTCGAGTTCTGATCGAATTTTTCCCATAAAAAATAATGGAAAACCAATTAATTGGTTCCCGATCCCCCAACATTACACCTATATATATTTAGCATTTAAACACAAAATGAACAGGATAAAACAAGAAGAGCATTTTTTTCTTAATGGCTTCCAAAACGATAAAAATCTTATCCCAACATTACCCCTGTCCTGCCCCGATAGTCTGCTCCTTCCGTGTGCCACGCCCCCTCGTTAACCTCGTGTGGGATCCCCATGTGATCAGCTGTTTCTGGTTGTTGTCATTAGTCCTTTGTATTACAGTTTCTCGATTGCTAAAACACATTTCTTTAAATTAGGCCTCAATTTCCCAAAACTCTAAACACAAATCCTTAACTGCTCACTCAACTACTGAAACTTCCACTGTTCAGGTCAAAAACAAACTCTCCACTCAAAATCATGTAGTCCTACATCTAAACCAAACTCTGCCTTCAGTAATCACACAAAAAGCATCAAATGCATATACACTACAAAATAGGAATTACACACTAGCGGGATCACTTCAAAACAATACCTCCAAAACCTGTTACTGCTATGAATAATGGCATATTTTGGAATAATTGTTTTCCCCATAACAAACTCTCTACATGACACACACAATATAAAGACACAACGACTATACATTTTCATAATTTTTTAATTCTTGGATGTACTGTCAAGAGCTATCAAACTGAAAAAGGAGATCTTCAGGGTAATGCTTCAAAGGGGGTGTTCAAAGACACCTGAAAGGTGCTACATGCTGTTCGCTTCCTGTATGAATGTAGTTCAAATTGTGTTCGCACCCGAGGAATAGAATTAAAGTAGTGGGTGTTCTCTCTTCTTCTGTTTGTGATTTTCATTGACAGGTTATCAAGTTTCAGTGACCATATCTCGGATAAGTGGTTGGAGGATGGATGGATGGGTATCAAGAGATAGTCGTGGCTGGAATGACATCTAGTATGGGGGCTAGAGTTAACATCCCTACTACTTGTAGATGAGGTTGTGCTTCTGGCCTCATCTGACAAGTACCTTCAAGACACACTTGAGCGGTTCAGCCCTGAGTATGATGTAGTTGGGATGAGAATCCTCACCTCAAATCCAAGACCATATTGCTCACTTGAGAAAGAGTGGATTGTTTGTTTCAAGTGAGAGGGTAGAGTCTGCCCTTGGTTGATGGAGTTCATGAACTTTGGGATATTGTTCACAAGTGACAGAGAGAACATGTGACTGACAGGCAGATGTGGCTGACAGTAGCAACACCACCTGCACTACCAAAGATAGTGTCAGAAATAGTATCTTCCCCTAAGCCATTAGGTTCTATGCACTTTCTGTCCTGTACCTCTCCGTCTGATAACCATTGTATTGCACAGTACTGTGTTATCAGTGTACTTTCTGCACTTTATACTGAATTATTGTCAATTTACACATCCTGCATATCTTACCAATATTGCACTACTTATTTAGTACTTATTGCCAAGCCTTTTTATTCTTATATTGCACTTTTATTCCATTGCTCTTTGTCTTACTCCCCCCCCCCCCCCCGCCATGCACCTGCTCCCCCACCTAACTGTAGCAGAAGAATTTCACTGTCTTTCCCAAATACATGTGACAACAGTGAAGTGAAAGTCAGAGCCTTTGTTTGTCATATGCACAGTATGGCACAGACGTCCCTACAAGGAAATACTCGTGGTGAGGCTCCGATAATCGCACTTACGATCACACATAAAATTCATATGTACCATAGAAATCTATCCGAAGGGGAAAGAAGTAAAGAAAGAACGATGGGGAGTAACCCTGGAATAAATAAAGCAGATCTTGTAAAAGTAGTGAGAACGACCAGGTAACAGCATCGTCGTAAAGTGTAAATTTTAAGTGGCTATCAATGTAATAAAATGTCAAGAGTAATAGTGTATGTTACAGACACAGCACAATGTCGCACTCTCCTTCTCCCGGCCCGTAATCCAGTCAGTGTCCAGGCATCTTTCAAGGATGCCACGTGGTGAGATCCCAGTCCAGCTTTTCTGAGCACATCCTCCTCTGGGGATCCCTGAAAACAAGCTGGAGATTGTGGTCGTGCAGAGGGGGGGCTCGTCTGACCTACTGGGCATGCTGCCACCATAAACCTCAGCAGAAGAAGCCCTTTGAAAATGCTGTAAGTTGGCCGCCGAAATGTGCATGATCCGTCAGCAGAGGGCGCTTGTGCAACAGGCAGGCAGGGCACACCTGTCAGAATGATTGGCTCATTAGAATTAGAATTAGTGTTGATTCCACAGAGGGAAATTGAGTAATAATCTTTAAACTGATGCTGTGCTCAATAACTTAAATCGTGTTTTGTAATATTCCAGTCTACCTGTTCAGATACATAAATACTTATGCAACCCGAAGAAATACGGGTCTCCGAGGTCAAATTTGCAGAGCAGAGGTATAATGTTCCTCAAGCATTTAAATTTAAAGTTTTCAGACATAGACAACTCTAGGCTTTGCTTCAAGGGGGAGCAAGCTGAGAGTGCTCAACCATTATTCATCCAGATTAAAAAACATACATTTACAATAAATTCTAAGTACTCATTCATATGACAAACACAAATCACATTTTCAAATATAACAGTTTATTAAACTTAATATGTAGCAGGAGGTGCAGTTTCTCCCCTGTATAATGGCATTTGGATTTAGGGAGGCTATAAAGTGTGGGGCCCCCTGACCCTGGAAGTCTATCCATGCCCCCCTGCCACCCCTGTACCTACGTATGGTTGGATTTTATATAGTTTTTTTGGCTTAGATACAAAGTCCAGGTTTAAATCGGTCTGATATTTATAAAATAGTTCACTGCACGGAGGAGTGTAAATTATGTGATTTATTGAACTCCGATGAGTGTTTTTTGTTCAGCACGACGGAGTAAGAATAGGCCCTTTATCTGTAATAATTCAGATGTGGATAAAATGACATCGATGGCTGGCAGAGCGGAGTACACTGATAGGTTATGAAATGGAAAAACTGATGGCCAGCGAGGATCAGCTGATCGGGCAGCACCCAGGGGCAGTATGTGTGAGGAATGAGACAGAGAAGAAACTGAAATACGATATCCAATTTATTATTCTTGCCTGCTGCTTGGCTCTATATCTGTCCACGTCTGGATGTGGCTGGGCAGATTTGCAGTGTGCAGTGTGCAGTGCCTTCCACCCCCCGCAATGAGGCTACTGTGCATTCTACATTACACACATTTAACCGGAGAATCTTTCCGGTAACAGTGAGCCACTCACGGTATAAAGTAATCATTTAGCGGTAGAACTTGCTTTTGACGTCACTAAAAGGTTTAATAATTTAAAGTTTTGTTGTGAAACATCTAGTCAACTGAATGCATCGAAGTGTTTTTGGAAAATGAAGTAATTTTTAATTTTTTAATTTAGTTTTAGACACATAAAACTCAAATTTAGCCTATCACTGCGGTTAGTGCAGGAATTCCTTTTAATTTGTGATTGTCTTTTAACGAATACACGAACGGTAAAATGCATGTCCATCATTAACTGGGATGGTACTAGAGTTAAACTGGGGGGCAGTGTGTGACTTGGCGGGTTTGGACGTGTCTGTGGCTGGTTGCTGGTTCAAATCCCAAAGGTCAGCAGAGTAATTTCACTGTTTGGCGCTTGGGCAAGGCCCTTATCCACGTCGCTCTAGAGACTCCCAAAAAAAAAAATTTGTATAAATGTATAAAACAAGACTAAAACACAACCAAACGCCAACCCTGTGCGCTATACTGCCTGTGACCCTGACCAGGACAGACATCCTGCTATCCACGGTTGGGGCCATTCCGGAATGCATTCATCAACTCCAAGCTAAATCAGGAAATGGAACTGGAGTTGGAACTTAAACTTTCCTGAAATTCAAATTCAATCCCAATTCTGTTCCCCCTAGTTTTTTTTCTAATTCCAACTCCAGTTCCATTTCCTGATTTGGATTGGAATTGATGAATGCATCCCTGAATGGCCCCAACCGTGGTGCTAACAACTTCATAGAAGGCAATATCTTTCTGTTCAGTATTCATGGTATTTTCCCCACTTTTACTACACCTTGAGAAAGGGCACCGGCTGTCTTAGACATGCATATCCCAAATAATCATAATCAGAGATAATACTATTTAATTTCAAGCAGTTCATTTGAGAATGTTAATGATTCTGGTCAATAAGTATCCTCGTGGTAAAGGGTGCTTCATTTGTAATTAAGTACTTAATTCCATTTTTACAGCATCACATGGAATGAAATAAATGGACCAGTTTGGATTAAACAGTCTCTACCAAGCAGGGGAATAACCAAGTGCAATTTAAGGAACAAGGAACCCAAGTTTATGAAGAGGGGAGTTCCTGTGTGTTTAGATGAGTAAGACTGTTGGCGAGCAGAGGGCTCCAGCCACAAACGCCGAGACAGACCCGAGATCAGCCAGCACTGCCAGCATGCCCTCCGTCATTTTAAAGCAGCATTATTCATTTCATGATTTTATTTTTAAACCAGGAGCTAATATTGGAATCAGCACCATGACTGTACTTCTCTCGATTGGGATTGAGAAACGGGAGAAACGTGGGACAAATATGTCAATGTATTTGCATTAATTAGTACATTTGGAGCACCCCGATTTTCAAGATACTACCAAGGACTCTCACAGCTCTCGTCTTCCTCATTACCAATGAAGTGCATGTGATGGTGCAGGAGACAGTTTGATATTGGGGGAGGGGGACACAACTTAATAATTGATACACAATGCTCTATTCATTCAATGAATCCAAATTCAATATTGGTGGGCATATGCATCCCCCCCCCCCGGTTCAT